TTCCAGCCCCTGAGGTCAAGCTCTGCTTGGAATGGGTCCACTCCCATGTTCTCTGCTATAAACTCTGTGTGTTCGGTTCAATTCTTTGTCCCGATCACCAAGAAACTTGGTCACCTGCGCCCACCTGTAACACCCTGACATCCTCCCTGACATCGCAGGCGTCTGAATCTCCCTCGGACTTATTTCTCACCCTTCTGAGCACCTGTGTTTTACCGAGGACGCTAACAGATTTGCCCACCCAGCCCATGCGCACTCCGCATTGACATCGTGGTCCCTGAGATGTTCTGACAAATGCCTACAACAGTTTTCAAACATTCTGGTCTCGGGACCCCTTTCTACTCTTCAAAATTACCCTGGGTATCTCAAAGAGGTTCTGTTTACATGGGTTTCATCCATGCGTATTTCCTAGAATATAAATTTAAGTGAAAAACTGAAAATGCATTTGTGTATGAATGCACTAAAAATAAAAGAATCAACTCATTTTATGTTTACATAAATGACGTCCTTCTGGAAAAATAACCATTTTTTTTAAAAAGGGGTTTTTTGACCGGTCAAGACCACAGCACAGGCAAACACAGCACACCTCCTTGGACAACCACATCAAAATTACAACTAAATTACAGAACAACCATCACTCCAGAACGTCAGAAATCGAGCCGAATGGAAGTCTGACAACTGTGAAATCGAGTTGGATGAAAGTCTGACAACTACGGAATTAAAGAAGGATACCACATCCATCCAGACTGGCAGGGGGAGTCGAGAGGTGAAACGGGCTGGTCCCTCACCCACGTGTGGTAGATACAAATTCGGGAGGGATATCTCAGGAGCGAGGAGCCCCAGCCTCACACCCGGACCCCCGGCCAGGGTTCCAGTGCCAGGAAGATAAGTCCCCACAACTTCCGGCTGCAAAAACCAGAAGAAACTTCTGAAGCACCAAGAAGCTTCCCTTAAAGAACCCACACAAGGACTCACCTACTCAGACTCGCTCCTTCTGGGCTCCCGCGCCGAGATGGCAGCTTGAAAGACACCGATGGCTCACGGGGAGAGACCGAAGTGTCTGGCACCAGGGTGGGAGCTGGGGAACAGCCTTCTCCCTGACAAAAAGGCAGGCAGAGCCACCAGGTGGGTGCCCTGAGTCTCCATCAACCTGGCTAACACCGTCCACCCTACCTGGAGATCCCCTGAGGCTCTGCCCCACCCAACTTACAGGGCCCACCCAACCTGTTAATGGTGACTTTTCCATATGAATGGCTAACCTTGGCTCATGCTTCACTACTTCCGACATCCTCTCAAACAAGCCACAGCAACTCTCAGCGCCCCAACTCCCTGTACTTCTTGCTAAGTGGCCCCGGGTAGAGCACCAGCAGTGGCCATGTAAGCTTGTTTTATAGCTGAGGTAGGGTGGCCTCGGCACAACGCAGGTGGGGGCCGACCTTGGCCTGCACCCTCCAGGCCACCGCGGAGCCTGACAATGGAGGAGTATTTCAATCATCTTTTGGGGTAATTATACACATTTTTCTGTGACAGTATTGCAAAATCCAATAAATGGTAGTTTCTTCAAGGTTTGTTGCAGTGTGAAATCTGCAATCATACACATTTTTTGTGCTCCGCTGAGTTAAAAAAAAATCACTGTTCTGTTTTTTTCCTTTGAAATGGATCTTTTATCCTCCGCAGCTTTGTAGCCTCACCCCCTGGTCATATGGACGTTTGAATGCCGATCCGAACATGAGTCATTATACAGTGTCCAGAAAAAAACATCACCTCTGTTCACATCACCATCAATCTCATCACAGAGGCCTCTAAGTATCGGGAAGCTGTCGATTTCCCGGTGGCAGAGGGGAGTCTTCCAAAGTCCTGGTTTTCCCTTCAAAGCTCCAATTTCCTGACGGCTCCCCGCGCCCGCGGGTTGTTTACCTCAAAGTGACGGCTCACTCCATTCTCGCTCCGTTCGTCTGCAGAGAACTGTTCACCAGGTACCTCAGACCGAATCATGAGAGGTCATCTCTTGGGAGTGCTTTCAAATCAAAGTGATGCTTCATTTAAAAAGCTGTTAGTTCGGCTCTCTTCATTGTCATGTCAACACCTCTTTAAAGATCCTGTTTGCAGCCTTGGTCCGGGTGAGGGGGGGGGGGAGCTCAGGTGATGGGAGAGTTGTCTGCACACTAGAAATTCGAGGGTTCGATCTGTGGCCAGGGTGGGTGTGTGCAAGCGGCAACTGATTGATGTTTCTCTCTGCCTCACCCCTGCCCCCTGCCTTCACTCTCTAAAATCACTGACCAGATCTTCAGGTGAGCATTAAAAAAAATAATAACAACAACAACTCTATTTCCAAATACAGCCACATTCTGAAGTACGGGGCTAGGACGTAAGCGTATGTATTTGGAGGGAGCAGAGCACACTTCCACTAAGTTGTATTCCTCATGCTGCCATTTCAGAGGTACTTACTTTGCGGCCGGTGGGAGTTTTGTGCCCATTTACATTTCAAATGCTTTAAATCATGGCCATGCTGTAAGAGAAAAAGCTGGAACATTCTGATTGTTCCTCTGAGTCTGTAGGACATAAACGTGAATTTCTCACCCTGGCTGGTGTGGCTCAGTGGATCGAGCGCAGGCCTGCGAACCAAAAGATCACCAGTTCAATTGCTAGTTGGGACACAGGCCTGGGTTGCACTCCAAGTCCCCAGTAGGGGGCGCACGAGAGGCAACCACACATGGCTGTTTCCCCCTCTTTCTCCTTTCCTTGCCCTCTCTCCGAAAATAAATAAATAAAATCTTAAACAAACAAACAAAAACCCTGCATTTCTCAACAGACTGGTTCTTCTGGAAACACTGCCCTGGATGGATAGTTTTCTTGTGAGCGCATCCTACTCGGTTTTTAATTTTCTGACACTCCAGTTTCCACAGAGCATCCTCCGGTATCCCAGGCTTCGTCCCTGATTAGATGGCAGCTCATTTAACGATCAGTAAGGCTGCTGCACCACCCCCTGCTGGAGGGGAATATGATTGCAAGCCCACGATGCCTTTGAAAATCCCTATGGTGACGCACCACGGTCTAGGCCAACCTGCCCAAAATGGAGTGCGCTGTTCCTCCAGCTCAGCGACCCTGAAACCTGAACCCCTGCAGAACTGCTCAGAGCAATTTTCTCTCAAAGAAGACGTGTGACCCCAAGAAGGTGACATATTAGAAACAAGCAGAAGCCTTCCCCCTGGCCAGAGACACACAAGCAACCCGCTGTTTTTAAGGGATATTGGGTGAACCATCACTGCAAATCATCTTGCACTGAATGGACAACATTCTCATCAACATTTCCCAGTGGTGTCCTCTCCACTGGGCCCCAGCGGCTTCCCTTTACATCTATAGACCCTAACCTATGTTTCTCTTTTCCAGTAGCTTAAAGGTTTCCGAGCAGATCTGCAGCCCACCCTGTAAATACGCAGGATCTCGTAACACCCACTCTGGGCATTTAAAAAGGTTTCATGCACCCTGGGCAGGCAGGCCAGTGCTTGGAGCATCAGTCCATACACCAAAAGGCTGTGGGTTCGACTCCCAATCAGGGTACATGCCTAGGCTGAGGGTTTGGTCCCCAGCTGGAGCAAGTATGGGAGGCAGCTAATCAATGTTTCTGTCACATCTCTCTCTCTCCCTCTCTCCTCCCCCCTCTCTCTCTCTGAGATCAATGAATATGCCCTCGGGCAAGGATGAGATAAAATTTTAAAATGCTTAATGCTCTTTTATTTCCTTTGTGTCATCTCATTTTTTATTCCAATTCATTTTATCTTGCTACCTCACGGATCTCTTTGTGAAGCGCTTTAAATCATACCTTACAGGAAGGAGCTTCGGGCGGTTTCTCAGTGACTGTGGATGTGTATGGGGAGAGAAAGGGCTCAACGTTGCCCTTTATCAGTGAGATGGTGCTTTTAGGACAACCTTTCTCCAACTCCCCCTGGTCTGCAAGCAGATTGAGTCGAGCCCTCTGAAGAGCCCATGCAGTTTCTCGGTGATTCTAGAAAGTGGATTAAACATTCTGGCTCCCATACGTCAGCCTCTCTAGGAACCGCAGCAACTGATGATATATCTTGTGTTTTATCCTTAAAGGAAAACAGTCCTTTATGGGAAGCACTGGGGATGGGGCGGGGGGGGGGGGTAAGAGGGAGGTAATAATGAACTGAAATCTTCCGAAGAAGAAAGGCCACAGACCCTAAACTCGAACATTTGCATAACAGGCTAGGACCTATGGGAAACTGAGAAGGCTCTCGGGGCACGCAGACCGCCCCTAGAAGGATGTGGGTAGGGGGTAGCTAGAGGAACGTTTCAAGGAAAGTTCACGGGTAAACTTATTCCCCGGCAGAAAACTCATTGCAAGGGGGAAAAGCGGCAGCACCACGGACAGCGCAACAGGCCGGGGTTCTGGGGGCACGGAGGGGCGACAGCACCACGGATAGCGCCAGCGTGGCGTGCTCCGGGCTAGAGGCGGGGAGGGGCGACCTTATCAGCTGATGTCTTACGTAGGCTGGACCCCCCAGTTTGATAAGTCCGGTCCCGGTGGCCTCTCCGGAGCTGCCGAAAGGGGCGGGGGCCGGGGACTGGCAGGAGGCAGGTCCCGCCTGTAGCTGTCTGGAGAGAGAGAGAGAGAGAGGGGCGCGCAGATAGGCTGCGCGCCTGGAAGTCCTGCTCTGACGCACCAACCTCTCGGAGCAGCCACACGCACGCTCCGCAGAGCCCAGCTTCTCACAGACTTGGGAGATGCGCGGCTCTGGGTGACCAGACCGCCTTCTCCTCCGAAGCGAAGAGACCCAGGCATACGATAGCTTAGGCAGCTCTGGCCGAGAGACGCAGCCCTCGGGCTCGGCTCCCCTAGCCTCTGAGGGGTTCAGACCTGCCTCCCTCTCCTCCACGCAATGCTCACTGGCATTCCCTAGAAACCCCCGAGGATAGTGACCACCTTAAGTCCTGCTGAGCCCCTCTCTGCAGGCACTTTGGGCCAGTCTCCTGACCCAGAGATGGATTTTCCGGACAACTTCACCAACTCCTCCATCGACATCCCCACCCCTTCCGAGTCCAACCTCAGCATGGGCACAGAAGAGCCGCCCCCCAGCCAGCCCCACCGCTCGGTCTGGAGCGTGCTGGCCCTCACCCTCCTGGGCTGCCTAGTGGCAGCCACGTTCGCCTGGAACCTCATGGTGCTGGCGACCATTGCCCGGGTGCGCACGTTCCACCGCGTGCCGCACAACCTGGTGGCGTCCCTGGCCGTCTCCGATGTGCTGGTGGCCGCGCTGGTGATGCCGCTGAGCCTGGTGCATGAGCTGGCCGGCCGGCACTGGCACCTGGGTCAGCGGCTGTGCCAGGTCTGGGTGGTGAGTGACGTGCTCTGCTGCACCGCCAGCATCTGGAACGTCACGGCCATCGCGCTGGACCGCTATTGGTCCATCACGCGCCACCTCGACTACACCCTGCGCGTGCGCAGGCGCGTCTGCGCCGCCCTTCTGGTGGTGACGTGGGTGGTCTCCGCCGTCATCGCGCTGGCGCCGCTGGTCTTCGGCTGGGGGGAGCTGTACTACGAGGAGGAGCAGGTGTGCCAGGTGAGCCGGGAGCTCTCCTACACCCTGTTCTCCACCGTGAGTGCCTTCTTCCTGCCGCTCTTCGTGGTGCTCTTCGTCTATTGCCGCATCTACAGGGCCGCCAAATGCCGCGCTGCATTCCGCAAGAACAACTGCGTGCGCCCCACGGCGGAAGCCGGGAAGGTGGGTACCACTGAGCCCTAAAAGCCCCTCTCTTTGCATCTGAGCAGGCTTCATGCCGAGTACACCTCTCCCCGAGTGTGTAAAAAGGAACTTTTAAAGGTTTTTCTTTTGGAGGGGGCGGGCAGGAGGGACGAGGGCAGGGGGTTGGCTGGGAGACCCAGAGCCGGTAATGTCCTTCGTCACCATGGTGGTGGGGTCCTCTTTTCTGTGTAAAATGAGGGGTCTGGGCCATCTACAGGGTCCCCTTGGGCTCTCAGACTGAAAATATGGACGGGGTGGGTGTCTGGGGCTGTGCTTGGGGGTCTGGACACTTCCTGGCCTTCCAGGGGGCTGTTCCAGCAAGAGGGAAGGGACAGGTGGTGGCCCGGCTTGGCAGGAAGATGGCCGTGCCCCAGGCAACACAGGTGCGTGTTTCCACCCGGTCTCTGTCTTTCTTGGCAAACCGAACGCCTCTGCGTGTGCTGAGCACTGCGTTTCACAGGCTGAGGTTGAAGGTGGGTCTCCATGGGCCTCAGAGAGCCCCTCTCTGCTGCCTGCGCCACATTCCGGGGCCAGCCCCCTGCCCCCTCAGGCTGCATGGCAGCGAGGGGCCACTTGTCTGCCTCCCGCACGTGGGCAGAGCTGCAGGGGGCAGGCAGTCCACCAGCCCTCCCTTCTACAAAGTGGCACGTAATGTCCGGACATGGACAACTGCGACAGTGATGGGAAGGGCTCTTCTGTCATTTTCTGCCCACCCACCCTTTCCTGCAGTTGTTAACTCTTGGTAAGCTGATGGTGGTGGTCCTGGTCCCCCCCCCTCGGTCCCCCACCCATGGCCAAAGATAATCCCTCAAACCTAATTCACGTTCTCTAGCAGGAGGTCTGGTACCTACGCAATGCCCATTTTCTGGTCTGCGCAACAAGGTGGCCTTGGTTAGCATGCTGAGCACGTCTTTGGTGCAGGGTGACGTCTGTCTTTGGTGCAGGGGTGACGTCTGTCTTTGGTGCAGGGCTGACGCAGTGGCAACGACGCCATCTTTGTCATGGAGAGTGTGGTCTGGGGAAGGCGAGGCACCCACTGTGATGGCCGCCAGAATCAGAGCTCCTTCCAGTCACGACCCATGAGCCCAGCCTGGAAGGGCTGGGGGAGGGGAGGGAGGAGGGAAAAGGGGTCTGCAGCGACCCACCCTTTCCTCTAGGACAATGTTCTCAGCCAGGGGCGTGATTTTGTCCCCCCCCCCACACACACACACACTGCAGGGGACATTGAGGATGACGGGGCACATTTCTGATGACCAGGACTTGGGGAGAGGGGGCTCATGGCCTCCCGTGTACAGACACCAGGGACAGGGACCCCATGCACAGGGCTGGAGTGTGGCTCCAGCCAAGGAGCAGACCTGTGCCTCTTTCCCACATGTCACTTTCTCAGGGTCACAGATGCCACTAGAAGATGCAAACTGTGAACTCTGAGCCATTCTGCCAGGGTTCTTGCTTCAGGGTCCCAGACCTGGAGGAGTGACAAGCTGCCTGTCAGGCAGGCAGGACAACCCCCCTCCCCAAACAAAGAATCATTCAGACCCCAAGGTCAGTGGTGCTAGATTTGGGAACCCCTGACCTGTGAGATTTCCAAACAGCACAGAGGGCTGATGCACCAGACCACCTGGGGCTCAGGCGCGTGGCACTCACCCCCACTCGGGGTCAGGAGCCAGGGGGCCAGCCACCGTCGTCACTCACGTGGCCCTGCTCACATGGACCCACTGCTGTCAACCTGCAGGTAAAGACCGTTCACAGGTGGCGCTGACGCAGACAGAAAAGCAACAGCTCTGTCTCGGGGCTCACTGTGGCGAAGGAGGGCTCTCCTGTTCTGCTCCTGGAGGTGACAGCAACAAAGCGTTGTGACATCCATGTGCTTTTAAATAGATATTTTTAGTGCTGTTTTGTTTTTTTCCCCTCTCTGACAGACAACTTCAGAAAAATACATCCTTTGGCTTTGCAAGGGTCTCTGGGGAGACCCAAGGCTGCACCAGGCACACGGGCTGCCTCAGAACCCACGTTGCTGCAAAGGGTTCATTACAGAACCACCCCGTGGTTCTGATCATGGGGTGGCCACAGGTGCCAAAGTTTCCAAACAGAGTTCCAGCAGGAAGTAGTTGTGTTACCTGGGAAAGCAATGCTTCTTCCCTGTTTACTGACCCACTGAGCTTTGGTACACACATACACATACACACACACGCACAGAACTCCTCACCTGAGGCAGACACTGAGGCAGGGACAGGCAACATGAGACAGAGAGACCTTGTCCTTGTCTTTGTCCCTGTCCAGGGGTGACAAAGCAAGGGCACAGGTGGGCTCTCCAAGGTGTGAGTGGGCCACTGCCTTCCTGTGAGCTGCGGGGTGGGTTGGCTGGTGGGGGGTCCACCCCAGCTACCTGGCTTTGCAGAGGGAGGGGCTGGCACAGACAGGTGACTTGTCCTGGAACCACAGTGAGTGTGAGAGGGACTCAGAGCCACAGAGCGCCCAGTCCTGCCCGCAGTTCGAGGGGGCACTTCATTCTTGGCCCCCAACTCCTGGCGCTCCTTCAGCTGCAGGGTCACGCTGCCAGCCTGCCTGGTCTTTTCAGGTAAAAAGAGGATGTTCTGCCTCATCTGCCTCGTTAGCCCAAGCAGCAGAAGGGTAGACTCCCCCGCTGCTGGGGTTAAGCTACTTAAACAGATGCCCCAGGGCTCAGGGTGTTTAATTCATTGTCAACTTCTGATCTTTCAAATGCAAACCTCACTCCCCAGGGGGTGGTCACTGTCCCAGGACTCTTTTCCCTGAAAGGATTTTATCTCTCTGGCTGCTCTGGAAGGAGCCGCAGTCCCCCTGAGGGCATCAGAGAGTTAGCGCTCCCAGTGCCCTGACCAAGGGTCCTGCTGACCCCACCACCGCTCAGGACAGACACGGAAGGGCTGGGGCCTTCAGCCCGGCCCCGGGAACCCAGCAGCCCGGGAGAAGGGGCTGGTATCCTACACTGTCTGTGAGTATTGTCAAGACGGTCCCCTCGTCTTGGGGTCCTCTCTTTGTCCCCAGGTTCTCCGTTTAGCTGCGGACCACATGCTTCAGCTCCTGGCCGTCCTCCGAGGAGCCTCGGTTCAGGGTGTTTTCAGAGGGCACCGCAGCATCAAGGAACATGCACTTCCCGTTTATTTTTTTTTAGAGGACACCTGAAGGTGACGTGCCCTCCCACCGCCAAATTCTCACCCAAAGGTATATTTCTGTTGATTTTAGGAAGAGAAGAAGGAAGAAGAGAAGGAAGAAGATAAGGAAGAGGAGAAGGAAGAGGAGAAGGAAGAAGAGGAGGAAGAGGAGAAGGAAGAAGAGAAGGAAGAGGAGAAGGAAGAGGAGAAGGAAGAAGAGGAGGAAGAGGAGAAGGAAGAAGAGAAGGAAGAGGAGAAGGAAGAAGAGAAGGAAGAGGAGAAGGAAGAGGAGAAGGAAGAAGAGAAGGAAGAGGAGAAGGAAGAGGAGAAGGAAGGGAAGAAGGAAGGGAAGAAGGAAGGGAAGAAGGAAGGGAAGAAGAGGAAGGAGCGTGGAAGTGAGAAGGAAACACCAAATGCCTGCCTCCGGTTCCTGCTTCGCCTGAGGGTTGGACCTGTGGCTGAGGTATGCGCCCCGACTGGGAATCGAACCCACAACCTTTCGGTGCAAGGGATGACAACACTACAGCCCACTGGGCCACCCGGCAGGGCAAGATGACACTTCTGTCCCAAGTTAAAGACAGGAATGATCCCAAAACACACCCACTGTTAGTTCATACAGGCCTGTCTCCTATTTGAGCAGTTTAACATGTTCAGTCATTCCACACTCTGGCTTCTTGTTTAAAAAAAATTGTATTTTATCCGCGAGACTGGCCTAGAGCGGATCTGGCGGTTTTAATATAATCCCCACCAACAAACTGGGTGTTGGGGTTTGGGACCAGCCCATCGAAGTTCTGTTCCAGGCGGGGGTGGGGGTGGGGGGGGCAAAGACACTTCTTCAATTACAGACACAATCACGAGAACATTCTTTTTCTCCCGGCCGAGGATTATACGGTGAGTCACTGGCTGCCGAACAGGCAGCGATAATGGGAGAGAGAAGACGTGATAGTCATTCACAATGAACAACCAGCGGCAACAGGCCGGGGGGTGCCTGTCAGCACTAGGGACTCGCCCCGTGTGGTAACGTCCGATTCCAAGGCTTCCTAGGACTTCCGAAGACCCGTGCACAGGTTTACCTGACGCCCTTCATCACGGGGAGGCCAAAGGGCAGGGCCCCAGTGGTGAGGGGCGGCTTCAGCGGGCAGCACGTCCTGGGTGGGTGCTGCAGGGTCCTGCTAACTCACCCGGACCCTGGCCCAGGGTGCCCCTCTGTGCATAAAAAGGCAAACTCCGGATAACACAGGGCACATAGACCTGCGCCCTCGCACGTCCTGCTCCACGTCACCTCAGTCTGAGGGGGCCGGGGGCCAGTGGCGTGTCTCTGGTACTGTCCCTACTGACCTCCTGGGGAGGTCCCGGGACCTAACGGGAGCAGGACCCGCAGTGCTGGAACATTCTGTGTGGAATGTTCCCTGGCCGCTGAACTCATCCGCCAGGCCTCCTGGTAGGGACCCCGAAGTGTGGGCTACAGGATGGGGTCAAGGCTTGTGCCACTTGGAGTTTTCTATTAAATAGAATGTCCTTTCCCTCCAGCCTTTGAAAATGCCGTAGCCACACATTGACTTCTGTTACCTCCCTTCACCGTCCGGTGTAATCAATCTTTTTTAAAGAAATCTTTTCCATATGGGATGTTTTCTTTTTAACGTGTTGTAAGCCAACATGCTTGTCCCACCTTTAGAGGGTTCAAATGCCAGGCTGGAGGCCCTCCTGTCCCCTCATAGTGAGGAGGGGACAGGCGCCACACTGCCGTGCCCCTAAATTACCGGCACTTCCCCTCGGGAGCCCCGAGGGGGCCCCGGGGATGGTGGCTTGTCCTGAAGCCCCCTGCCTGTCTTTTCCAGAAGACAGAGTACTCGGCCAGCGACCAGAGGGTCACCATCCACACGGACGCCGACACCCTGAGGGAGCAGCGGGAGCAGAGGGCGGCCGTGATGGTGGGCGTGCTGATCGGCGTGTTTGCGCTCTGCTGGCTGCCCTTCTTCACCACGGAGCTCTTGAGCCCCCTGTGCAACTGCGACGTGCCCACCATCTGGAAGAGCCTCTTCCTGTGGCTCGGCTACTCCAACTCCTTCTTCAACCCCCTCATCTACACGGCCTTCAACAAGACCTACAACAGCGCCTTCAAGAACTTGTTCTGCCGCCACTGTTGAGGCCCAGGCCCTGGGGGGTGAAAGAGTTAGTCCTGCCACCCAGTAGAATCTCCGTTGTCTGTGTCCCCACCCGTGCCCCCTGCCCCACCCCGGTGGAAGACACCTGTCCTTCAGGTTCTCTGCCCCTACCTGCAGGGCCCTCCCCCTCGCTACGGAGGAAGGCAGGCCTCCTTGGTCAGGTGGGGAGAGGCCCCCTTTAGCTAACTCCTCTGCTGCTTCTCTCTCTGCACCCGTCAGCTACTGCCTTGGCTCCCAGAGGGCCTTTTCCTGTCCCCAGCCTGGCTCGGTTGTCATCCTTGTCTCCGAAGAGTCAGACAAGGCAGGTAAGAGGTGGAACAGCACAGGCAGGCGGAGAACGAATTTGCACAGCGACTCAGAAGTGAGGATGGGATATCTGGGGGGTCAGGAAACCATCACCCCAAGTGTCGTGGAGCAGTCCCTGTTGCCCACCTTCCTTCCCACAGCCCTGGTCCAGTGCGCCGTGATGTTTACTCTGTGTGTCCCCGTATTTGACCACCAAGTGCCGTGTCTGTAAACTCCTTGGCGTCCGCAGCGGCATCTGTAAGACCAGTGGATGTTGACGCCGCAGCTGTGTGCACGCCCGACACACGCACACAGCTGCACACGAGGGGGAAGGCTGCCCTCGGCGAGTTTACCCAGAAAGGCGACCCAGCAACTCGGAACGGGGACTCAAGTCCAGGTCAGATGGGACTGCCCCCCTTCCCTTTTGAAGCAGCCACTCACAGACTGTCAGGATGTCCACTGATGAGGGACAGAACCCGCTGCACTTGCTTCTCGGCTCCCTGTCCTCCGTCCCAAACCTCCTCCGGCGTCGCCGGACTCACCCCTTCACCCTGGAACCATAAGTTCAGAGGAAAACAACTGTGCTGTGGTTGTTGACTCCTTAACAAAGGGCTACGATGGCATATTCACCGAATGCGTGCTCTTTAAGGGGAATAGCAGAATCATTTGATAAGTGCTATTTTTTTATTGATGAGTGCCTGGTTGAGGTCCACACCGGCCACCGAGGTGAAAGGCGGAGATGGGGGGGGCCCCGTAGGGGCTCGGCCTCCCGCAAGTGGACACCTCGGTACCGCCGGTAGGGCTAGCCCATTAGGTAAGGATGCCGTGTTTCCATGATGACGTGGAACCCAGGTCATTGTACATAACCTTACCAACAACTGCCTCTGCTCTGCTATGCCCCCTGTATTCTTGAATGCATGTATTTAAAAATTCGATATTGTGATACTCTGAGGTGGTGACAGTGCATTTAGTGACACCTGTGTTCTTTCGTATGTAGTGAATCGTATCAATAAAGATTTCAAAAGCAGCCACTGTGTGTGTGGATCCGAGGGGGGAGGAGGTCGCGCCCCTGGGGCAGGGCTGAGAGGGCCCCCCCACCCCCGTTCAGGGCGCTGCAGCCCAGGAGTCTAGTCACGGCGCCAAGTGCAGACCGCTTATCTCGGGGAGCACATCCATTCAGGCGTTTCTTTGGAAACATCCTCAGATCATTCTTTCTCCTTTCACTTGAAGTGCCTCCCCCACGGCCTTTGTCAGGTGTGGGCCGCTCACTGTTGAATTACCTTCCCCGCTCACTGTTGCCTGGAAGCAGGGACACCAGCAAATGCCACTCTTTTCTGGTGTCAGAGCGCGGAGAGCAGCCCCCCCACCCCCACCCCTCAAACTTCACTCAGGGCCCCACGGCAGAGAACAAAAACACTCGGAGTCGGCAGCGGAGTCGGCGGGGGCAGGGGTGGGGACTCTGGAGCGTCTGTCAGCTCCGAGGCTGCGTGACATTTTTTTTTCATGCTACTCATTCACTTCTGTGTTTTTGTCTCCCTGTGACAAAAAGATCTCTCTCCCTCCAAACTTTTCAGCGAAGCCACACTTTGGGAGGGTGTGCCAAAGGTGTCGGGAGGTTCCCAACCCTCCTCGGGGCCCTCCCCGCATGGCCCCCACCGCCCGGATTCTGGACACCTTCTTGGAGAAAGATGTCATCCGAATATTAATTCCAAGCTCCCAGTGAGGTTACTCTCCCAAGATAGATATGTTTTGTTGTTGTTGTTACTATGTGTAGAGGACGTCAGCGCTTCCCACATGTCCCTTACACACACACACACACACACACACACATCCCACCGACGAGCTCTGCCAGCGGGAGGGGGCGGTGCTCCAACTCCCTGGCTTCCATTCGCACCCAGGGCGTTGGTTAGGGATAAGGGAGAAGAGGCCAATTTTGATGGCACTGGGTGTCCCGGAAAGGATTCAAATATCTCTGGGTCAGGGTCGTGCGCTCCCCACCCCCGCAGAAGCCCCTCTGCTTAGGGAAGAGGCAGTGAGGCCTCCGGGGCAGGGTCGCTAACCCCAGCACCCCACCCCCCTGTTCACTCCGGTAGGGAGTGGCGGTAAGGGCCCATAAGGAAAGATAGATACCTGAGACTAACTCTCTACCGGGAACACAGAAGCTCACCTTGGCCAAAGCGCCTTCCTGTCTTCCTTGGGGCTGGTGATCTGCCCTTGGCCCTGTGACCCAGCTGCGCTCAGCCGCAAGCCCGCCGCTGGCCGGCACGGGACAGTCCACCAATCTCTGCTCCTCCAGAGAGCGAGGGGCCTGAAGACCAGGTTCCGCCCCACCGGCTCCTCCAGGGCGGTGCAGACCAGACAAGGGCGGGGCCTCCTGAGCCTGCCCTGCCTCAGCACATCCGGCTCCTCACCTGGGCACGCCAGGTGATCCCAGTGGAGCGGTGGCTTCCAACTTGCTGGTTTTCCTAACCTTTCTGGTTTCCCCTAGGCCCTTAAAGACACCGGCCCCCGAGCCGGCCGGCTGCTCAGAGGTCTGCTGAGGCCCCCAAGCTCCCTGGGTAGTGGCCCAGGTGGCCAGCACCCCCTTCCCGTGGGTCTCGGTGCCCCCAGCACATGCCCTTCCTCAGGGGTCTCAGGACAGCTCATCAGGCCCCTCCTCCAAGCTCGGAGAGTTTAGTCACCTCCGGGGGACCTGCCCCCCAGTTCCCACCTCCAGTTCCACCGCCATCTCAAGTGCCTGACTAAGGAGTCTTCCTACTAAGTTCTCCCTGTCACTGGGCTGGTGACCCTCCTTCCCCACTAGCCCCTGAGCCATATGGGGGACAGGCCACGTGGCGTCTGTCCCAATGACACTAGAGTGTCCGCATTCTGCCGTCCTGCGTCCAGCACATGTGCCCGGTGGGCGCCCGGGGAACAGCAGCCCGCACGGCACCATGGCCTCTGTCTCCCGGCCTCCACCTACCGGTCGGCTCTCGGTAAACGGAACGCAGGGGTGTCCTGGACCCAGCATGCCCCCCACGACTCATCTGCTAACATTCTAAGCCCAGTATCTCACGGGGGGGGGGCTGTATTTGGAGACGGGCCTTCACAGAGGTATGAAGGTAAAATGAGATTATATGTCAGGAGATGGGGGTTCCAGATCCAATGAGACCAGTGTCCTTACAAGAAGAGGAGGTGAGGACACAGATGCACAGACAGAAGGACAGCCATCCACACGCCAAAGAGAGGGGCCTCGGGAGGAAGCAGGCCCGTCCACCCCTGGGTCTCAGCCTCCAGCCCCCAGGACAGTGAGAGAAGAAGCTCATGTTTAAACTGCCTTGTCCTTGGTGGCTCTAGGGACAGCAACAAGTAGGGTCACACACTCACATGGTCAGCCTTGCTGGCGAGAACCACAGGTCAGAGCCCCGCAGGTGGGGGCAGCTGTGTCGTGGGTCGCAGGAGAGAGGTCTGGCTCTCAAAGTCAGACCTGCCCAAGTGTCCCATCTGCTGTCCGCTCTTCAGGGCCTCTCCGTCCTGACCAGGCGCCCTAAACGGGGCCAGCGGCCCTGGACCGAGACTGGAGAAGGGGGCCATGAGCTTGGGGCAGAGGGGTGGGAGGGAGGGCCCCTCCCCGGCTCTCCTCACCCCTCCTGCCCCTCAAGGAGAGTGGTTCCTGCTGAACCCCAGGGAAGGGTAACAGCCAGGCCACACCGACCACACCTGGAGAACATAATGCCCTTGTGGTTCCCAGCAAAGGGACTGCTCTCCAATGTCACCTTTCAGCATCTTTTCCACAATGGACAGGTTGTCTTAGGAGCTTAACCTTCCTTCTGTGTTTTGGGACAATCTCACCTTCTAAGGAGGTCAGAGGTGGGGACACTGCTGTCCAGCAGCCCAGAGCCACGTGCCTGAGGTCTGGGGACAGACACCAGCGCCCAGCGCCCCCGCCTGTCTAGCCGTGGTCTGAGTCAGGCCCACAGGCGAAGTGACAGAGGGCTCTCACTGTCACTGAAAACGGGCTGAAAAACAGGACAGTGGAGAGGGCTCCGCGCGGGGGTGGACATCTGTGTGATGGAGGAGGCTATGCGAGGCCGCGGCGTTCTTAATGGCTTCACTTTTCTTGTTCCTTTTAAAAGTTTTTAGTGAACATGTTGGGGTGACCCTGGTTAACACAGTCATGTAGGTTTGGGGGGTACGGTGCTGTGATACGTCATCTGTGTACTGTGTTGTGTGTTCATTCCCCATGTCACTCTCTTTCCATCACCACTTGTCCCTCATCCCCCTCTTCTCTCCCCTCTGGTGACCACCACGCTGTGGTCCGGAAGGCAGAGAAGCATTGCAGCCCCCCGAGGGTGCCTGCTCCTCGGTGGGTTTGAGCCCCCAGCGGGCCCGAGGCTCTGCAGGCCCAAACCCACCAAGGAGCAGGCACCCTGCCTGCAGACGTTCTGCCGCACCATTCCCGTCTGCACGCTGGGCGCTCCGGGGTCCTGCATCCCCATCCACAGGGCTGCTCCTTTCCTCCCGCCACACCCTCTCGCCCTCGAGGGGGTCTTGGAGCCCGTTAGGACCCCTGGTGGCTCTCCTACCCCCTGTTCCCACTGTCCTGCGATGCCACATTTTTGCAAGACCACTGCAGACCCTGTTTCCGACCCACCGACTTGTCCAGCTGCAGACAATACCTGCAGTGTCTTCATTAGCATTGCGCCTCGGTGGCGCTGAGTCATCCAGCCCGAGAACAAAGGATGTATTTCGTGAGACGTGAATGCATCCACCCCCGATCCCTCCCCAGCTTAGCTCGGTGCCGCGTCACCTCTGCGGAATGAAATGAGTCAGGCGGCCTTTCAAACCTCCCGTCAGGTGATTCAGCCAGTGACTCAGGTGTCTCTGGCCTGGGGCCGGTGGGCTGTATCAATCCCCAGCCAGCACCGCTCTGCTGGACGGGGCAGCGTTAATGTACAGGCCTTTGCACCGCCCCCGCTGTGGCGGCTCCTTCCAGAAAGAAGCAGAGAAATAAGCGCAGAATCTAAGACGGAGCGGACCACTGGTGGTCCCCAGTGGTGGGCGACTCTCTGAACAGGAACGAGACATTGGGAAGGTTTCTCTTCAGAGTTTACACTCGGCACCTTGCTGATTGATTTAATGCCACTGCAATTTTCCCTGATGCGTTAAAGAGCATTGCGTAAATGCCAGCCTGCGCCCCGGGTGACCGCAGCGCGGGGCCGCCCCTCAGCCACCCACGTCCGAGGCTGTTCTTTTTGTACAAAAAGATAGAGACATAGGGTCTATCGGTGAATTAAATATGGTTTTCCATTTGGAAATACATCCCTATTCCTCCTTTAACTTGAAAGCCGATGTATCAGTTACCCAAAAAGAATGCCCAGGCCCTGGCCCAGTGGCTCAGTTGGTTCAATCCCTGGTCAGGACACGTGCGGCCAGCTAATGAACGCATGACTTAACAGAACAACAAAACCGTGTTTCTCTCCCTCCCCCTTCCTCATGCTCTCTCTAAAATCAATAAATTAAAAAATTGTTTTTAAAGATATTAGTACTTTACTTTTAAACAGAATGAAAGGGAGAAAGAGGGAAACAGTGGTCTGTGGTTGCCTCTCGCACGCCCCCTGCTGGGGACCTGGCCTGAGACCCAGGCATGTGCCCTGATTGGGAATCAAACTGGCAACCCTTTGGTTCGCAGGCCGGTGCTCAATCCATTGAGCCACACCAGCCAGAGGGGGGAAAAAAATTAAAGAATGGTCTCGTGGTAACCCTGGTCGCTGTAGCTTAGTTGGTTGGAGCAATATCCCATATGCCAAAAGGCTGCAGGTCCCGTCCCTGGTCTGGGTGCATACAGGAGGCAACCAGTCGATGTTTCTCTCTTACACTGATACTCCTCTCTCTCTCTTCCTCTCTCCCTTAAAACATTGAATGTCCTAGGGTAAGGATTTAAAAAAAGAAAAAGGAACACTCAGATGGTAAAGGCACCCACTTTATAACTTCTAGCCGGTTTATTTCTGCTAACCGAGAGCGTGAAAATAAACCTTGT